CAAAAATAACTTAGTTTAAGGGATGGCAGCAAATTATCGCGATGAATAGACCAAGTACGAGTTAAGGATAACAATTTCACCCCCAGACTGAAAAAAGAAGTCCTGAACAACTCCTGTCAATATATTACCAAGTCAACTAATGAATGAATAGATTCATACCATTCTGTCACAATCCGCATTTAATGAAGGCGCGCCAGGCAATAATGTTACCCACCATCAGCATTGTTTGGGCGAGAGGCGTTAGAAAAAATATACATACACTTGATTCAACTAAACACGGGCAGACAGACATTCTCATTTACTGATGGCAGTGCTCAACCCCTCACTTTTCCATGACTACTGACTATGACAATATATGGAGAAATGAAAGAGATCAGTTTGTTCTAACAATGTCAGAAGGAACGACAACTTTTCCAAATAATCTATTTCTTATTTCTTCATTAATTAAATTATCAGTCAATAGGTTTATTTTATTTCATTTTTGGCTAAATTAGTCATATTTTTATTAACAGTTTTATTTAACAGTAAGTAATTGAGTTTTTATTGTTGTATTTGACATTTCCTTGTTTTGTGAATTATGTTATTCTGCGCTGATTTATTTTCATTTCTAAACTTATTTGTTTATGATGCTGTATATGATTTCATTTATTTTCTTTATTCGTTTGTCGATGAAAGCAAATCATGCTTTAAGTTAGCGAGGAATACATTATCGATAACAAAAATTGAAATATAGAATCGCCGCAGATGTCATGTCAGATGAAGAAACCAGATGTCAACAGTAATGATGATGATTGCAGGGATGGTGACGATGGTCATGACAGTGATTTTGAAAGTGACGCTCATTATACCAGTGAAAACAATTACATTATCACACTGAATTAGGATCGGGACATTTATTTACAATTATTTTCTCAAATATAAATAGCATTACATGATTTAGTGATACTTTTACTGCGCTAAAGTGTGTCTTTAAAAACTTGTTTGATAGATGGATTAATATCACACTATTTTATTCAAATTGAATACCTGAAATTGAATACCCAAAACCTCTACAATGTATGAGGTCTTAAAACTGACTGTAAGTCTAATTATTTGTGAAATTGCTCATGTTTTACAATCTTTCAAATATTTTAATTTGAAAAACTATTTTATTAACATATGTCGGTACACTAAGATGCCTCAACCCAGTGCAGGGAAACAACAGCTAAAATGTATGATTAGTCAGAATAAATTAAAACAAAAGAAGTATTGTGAATATTACTGATGCATGATCCCCCAAAGTATACAGAAACATGGACAAAAAATAGTTACTCACTAAATTGAAAATTGTCTCAGTATTGTCAGAGAGTAAGTAATTAAGCAAATGAGATATGAATAAATGAATGAATGAATGAATGAATGAGTGAGTGAGTGAGTCAGTTTACAGTTGCAATTCTTCACACACACAAATTATTTAAAATCGCATATTCAGCGAGTGTCCATACTTCTGACATAAATACTAAACTTATACTTCCACTATCGCCCATTGTAGGTGTATGGGTTTCTGTAAACAATTAACAGGTAAATAATAATATGATCAGAACAGAAGCAATCAGCATGGCGGCGAATGCAATGTTGTATATGATTGGACTACTTTAATCAAAGCCCAATAAATTGTTAATGTTGTTTTGTTCAGAAATACAAGCACACGACAATTTCCAGAAAATAATTCGACTTCTTAGCTTATTGAAAAAAATATGCCGCAGATAATGCAACATTAATAGTTTAGCTTGACAATAAAACGTCGGTGAATGCAACGTAAAAGATCACACTGTAGGCTATTTTTTCTCACGTCTGGGACTACGGTTTGGTTTTACATATGACGTCATCGGAAGCAAATATTTTGTTAAATGAACGTTCCTCATACTGGGACGTTGTAGCACAGAGGGGATTAGAGATGTCACTATTTTGATTTTCAGTTTTGAGTTCAAAGTTCAAAAATCACATAACAGGCGTGTTGACGTAAATGTACCATAAAAATAATATTATTTTCCGTGTGTACTTTGTGCATTGCCAAACCAATAAGGCAAAATCGTGTAGTGTTACGTCTAGTCAACACCTGCAGATGAGCATAATATTTTGAGCAAAAAAATAATTCAATCAGTAATTTCGAGGAAATTGGTGGTATATTGTCGGCAACATATTTCAAAAAATGCTTAGACACAATTTGAACAACCAAAATGTTAACACTGGTGAAGTGACAGATTTAAATCGTCTTAGTGAAAATACGGGAAAAGATACTTGACTCACTCTTATGTCAATGTATTTCTTATTTCTCTCTAGACATCATGACATACGTATTAGCTTTTTTCCTCAGTAGCGTACGTTACACATGGCAATATTTAGTGCATTTATCAGCTATCTACGGTTTACACCATTACCAGTAGTAGCTACGTAAAAAATGAAAATGAGCATGCGCGACATAATTCAGTTGCGTGTGCACTAGTTTATTTGTCAATGGGAATGCTCCCAAATGGAGGAATTACAAACACGTGCGTCATCAAAAAATTATCGATAAAATCGAACGAGTGGATCAAATCTACCAGTTGCGGATGTTTGTCTGAAGTCTCTGCACAACATTTCCCGTTGAAGAGTATTGTAGGAAAGACAGCAACGATGTTACGTTTATTATTGATTCTTGCGGTTACTAGTTTGACTCTAGCAGTCCCACACGAGGTATGTTCACTCTCATATTAAGTTACCGCTTATTGTGTACATTGTTGTGATCTCTAGTGTTGTGTTTAAGGAACTTTGTCTCGCTTGGCTGATAAAATTTACCACGTAGAGATACAAAGCGCCCAGCTTTATTCATCGAAACCGTCAGCTGAGGTAACGCCTCGCTGCCCAATTCCTTTCTTCCTCACTTCTCCCTCCTTCTATTCTACAAAAAATCTAAGACTTGGCAGAGAAAACGTGCGATAAGCCAATCGCTGCAGCCGTTCATGATCACATGATAACCATGTCTCATGGTTAAAGCTTTGCGAAGTTGCCACTACTAAATACATTAGTACAAAATCTATAACATCCTGTAATATATATTTATAATGCCTACCTTACCATTTTAGCTGTTGATTCTGACAATACTGCATTCTCGGGTGAATCACATATGTGTACGTGATGTCACTATACTTTTACCCCCTTACCAACGTTATTTTAGTTCTTTATATATATAGTCCCCTTCCTCTTCTAGACGACTCGACGCTTGGTGTAATCAGAAGGGTGCACATGAGATAATCTTTCACCGTTAAAATTGGTTTTAATTATTCCAGAAAATCAAAATACTCTTTTCGGACATGTAATGACGTTATATACAATCACAAACAATACAATTCTTTCACATTCGATCATGTTATACGTACATGTATTATTTGTTTCATCAAAAGTGCACATGTCATTCTTAATTCAGCTTTGTATCACAACATAAATGTTCGTAGGCCATTACCACATACTTTCGATAAGCTAATGTGCATAATTAAGCTCTACGTTTACTTGGTAGTAAGATAGCATATGTGGGGATACAGCATTATAAAATGTAATTGAATTCAAACATTTTTAATAATTGAAAAAGGGTACATAATACATGTATCGTAGCTGTGCCACTATGTGCATACTGTCCGCTAGAATTAAACTGAAAAAACATTATGGAACTAAAATATAAGCAACAGGGCCTTTTATACAAAAATAATATATATAATACAATATATTGTTCTCTTTAAGTTACATCACGCCATTGTTCAGATCAAACACACGCTTTAACAATTTCTGTTAGTAAGTTCGGGTAAATATGTTTTCAAATGTGACATACTAAAAATGCTGTTTGATGGACGTTAGCTATGCCTTTTATCAAAGCAGATAGAATGAAGGGGACAATACAATACAGTGTCATAATGTTTTTTTGTGAACCTAAGCTCATCTGTGTTAGATTTACAGCTATCGTTCCCATCCTTAGGGGCGGAACTACGTCATAGAACGCTGCACGTTGCTAGGATGCGCACCACTCTACCGTGTGTTTATATGGGCGAGCTGTTGTGGAACGCTGGTCAAAAGCCGGTGAAAACAGCTAAAGTCAAGGAAATAGCACAAACGCAACTTTGAAGTAGTCCTTAACAACCAAATTTATGTTTCACATGTAGGGGTAATCTTGTTACTCTCTTCAGGAGAATCTCAACAACTATCCTAATATACATGTTATCGGCCTTTGTTTTCACCGTGGTGGTTGCTAGGCAATGAAAATACCCGAATGTCCGCCCTGAGGATTGGATTAAAAAACTTAAATTCCTTCCTTTTTTTCTTTTCCAGAAATTGATTGAGAAGCGTAAGTAGTCCCTCTCTGTTAGCGAAATAATAAAAGTGTAATGCAAGTTTGTATATCAATTATTATAAACGTGTTCTAAGTTTGGACACTATCTATTCCATCAAGTTATAGAAAGAATACAAATGTGTGCACGGTGTTGGAAAATACAAAGATTTAACTCAACATTACAAAATTACTAACTTTCTGGTTTTAGAGAAAATATAGAATGTATTCATATGTGATAAACATGTAGATAAAATACATCTATCACTCTGAATTACATTGACGATTTCAAATGAAAATTATATTTTCAATGTCACTGTACCAATTTATATAAAGGCAGTTGTATTATTAACGTATATTTAAATTATAAATAATATAAATACTATCAACATATTTATCAGCAGCTACGCCAAATTTGTACTTCATTCAGTTGATAATGTACATCACACACATGGTACACAATGATGTTTTAAACGTGCTTGTTATTTAGGTGACTTGCCCGTATATCACGTTTTGAAAGGACCAATGACCTGGTACGAAGCAAAAGCTAGATGTGAAGCAAATGGATGGGAACTCGCACAACCCAGAAATCAGGCTCAAATGGATGCGATGATGCAATTATATATGATATATGCAGGTATATTTGCAGGCATAGATATATCGTAGTTGTTGCAAGCTCTATACGAATGTTTTAGTCATGAAACAATGGAAACTAATTACAACTTTGTAAATATTTATTTGTATAAAAGGAATTGCCTCATTGTATTTTAATTTTATTAGGTTTTCATTGGATTGGTGTAACCGATGTGGACGAAGAGATGAATTTCGTTTACTGCTCAGATGGCAAAACAATTACCTACAAGAACTGGGATGATGGCGAACCAAATAATGAAAATGGAATCGAGCACTGTGTTGAGGTCTGGTAAGTAAAGTTAGTGTCACTTAAAACACGAGGGGCTTGTATTGCACATGCTTTCACAAATAATCATTTTATAATGCCAACAGACTAAAGACTGCATGGTGATTAGTTGTGACTTACGCAATTATATTTAAGTTAGATCTAATATTTTACAGGAAATTAGCGGGCAAATGGAATGACGTTGATTGTAACATATCTCGAGCTAATGCATTTTGCGAGGGTAAGTATGATTTATAAATCAATCTCCACATAATATTAGTTGCTCTATTCATTGAGTGTGTTGATGCTAACCCATGCCAAATAAAAAAAAATCTTTTCTATATCCCTGATTAGATTGTTCAATCTCTGTCAGTAGCATGCTATATCACGTTTTGTAAACACCCGCACTTACTTTGCTTAACTTTGTAAACATGACTGGTGATTGAAAATAATATCTTGTGTTTTTCACTTGTAATTTAAATCGTGCATGAATGTCTTTATTAGAGCATGGTCCCCACGGTGATCCTCATATGAGGACATTCGATGAGCGTACTTATAATTTCCAAGGAATAGGCTGGTACTATCTTTTCAAGGACTGCAACGACAACCCTCGTTTTGAAGTCACAACCAAGTTTGAACCAAGAGAAGATAGTACACCAGACCAAATCAAAACGCGAACTATTGCAGTCAACGTAACTGTTGGAAATCAATACGCAATTATTAATGGACGTGATGTTACTACAGTAAGTTGTCAGTGTGTGGTATTGTGATAATGCAATCAAAATTGTTTTTTAATTCAGTGATCATAACAAGATGATAAACAATTATTCATTCAACAGGGACGTACAGGTGGACAGGTGACTGACGCAAAAGTTATAACAGTCCAGGAAGAAGAGAAGGATATTAAACTGCATTTCACTTCAAAGGACACGACTTTCTCTTTAAAATGGACCCTGAGAAAGCACGCATTAGATGTATCCTTGTCTGGCTCTTTTTACAGCGGAAAGCTATGCGGTCTCATGGGTAATGCAGATGATGATCCCCGCAATGACTTTCAGAAACCAGATGGTAGTATTGCCAAAAACGCTATTGAATTTGGTGAAAGCTGGAAAGTACTTAACAAAAAGTAAGTTGTATTTTCCTGTACATCACTAAAAAGTGTTGGAACAAAAAACTAGACCTCTCTTATTATTGTATGCTTTGTTTGTATTTGTTTCGTTTCAAGTATTTTAAAATGTGTATTGTTCTTATTTTCTGGATATATTTTTGAAGGTGTGGACAAGCAAATTGTTTTGGAAATAAAATACAACATTTCCAATAACATTTGTAGCAAGCACATCATCCATGGTGCCAGAGTTCTTTCTTTTAAACCAGGATCATTCCTTCAGATCAAATGTAACATATTGATCTGAATTTTTGATTTTACCATCTCAGGAAATTATTTCAAACCAATATGACATTTGTCATATTATATATGCTGTGTGTCTCTACTGTCTAATATCTTAAAGCAGAAAACAAACTTTGTTTCACCACAATTAATCATCTCCATGTTGCGCATGTAAAATGCACAGTAGAAACTTTTTACGAAATATATAAAATAATTTCTGACCAAAGTGACAATATGATATATGGCTCTCATGAATGATTTAACGATTGACTTGGTAGTTGGCATAGGTGGTCAAAATAATAAAATAATAGTCTGGGCATGTGTCAAACTCGGTATGGGGATGTATTCAAACCACCGTAATGGCAGCCATCTCGTTGATTACGAAATAAATGTTTCGAGCTTGGACCCAAATACTATGAGATGTTACAAAGGTAATTTGTATCTCAGTATTCTGAACTGTATAAGCTAATTCATTTTATCTGTTCATGTTATAGATAAGACTAGGAAGCCAACAACTGACAAATGGATGGGCGTCGTAACAGCTTTATTAGTTTTAACATTTTATGATGGTGGGTTTTTTTTCGGGAAATTAGTAAATATGTTTTATTGCATCTATTGTGGTTAGTTTAATAAAAAAGTAAGCATAAATGTATCACAAAAATCCCCTGATCATTAACAATGATTTATGTGTAAAGCAGCAGAGTAACAGCAAACGAGATCAATATGATTCGGTCTCCTTCAACAGAGGCAGCATTCAAACTAAATACTATAACTCTAACCGTATTGTGTACACACAAAATGAAAATAACTTGTATTTGTTATATAACTTTGTTTTATTTTCGTTTCGGGTCTGTTTTTGGTCAATTCAAAATTTACCCTGGTGTATTTTATGAATTTGAAGGCTTGAGATACGGATTAGTTATGTAGTTTACATTCTTAACCATGACAGCATTGTAACCAGGTGGATTGATTGAATGGTTTGAAAACCTACCTTCCTTTCGTCTCTAGTAATGCTAAGGACTATTGACTTGCTGCATTTATCCAATCATTTGGGTTTGGGGCAAGACAGATGTCCGAGGGTGAGATTTTGCAAATTGCAGTTCAACATCTTGAATTGGAATATAAGAAATTAGATCAATTTGAATCAATGTTGACCAAAATAGAAATACGTATGATCTTGCCATAATTATGTGTTTAGTTCCCCCGTCCAGAAATTTGAAATGGCCGCCCCAATTTTGGAAAACATTGCTTCAGGGAGTAATTTCGGTAAAGTCCAAAAAAATAATGGCTACAGTAACTATCGAGTTATGATTATGAATATGTAAAAAAAGATAGTGTTGAAAGCTTACGAGTTGGTGTCAGAAGCTTGTTGTTTGAAGATTTGTAGCTTCAACATAATTTGAGTATGCACATCTGCTTGGTTGTTGGTGTTTTTCTATCAAAATTAGGGGTAAATATGATAGGCTTAGACAACTGCTCATTAGTGTTTTGATACAAAGTATCACTTTGGAGTTAAAATCATATATTGGTGAGCATAGGGAATACAAGAGATAGTCTTTCGCGAGCCTGGCAGACAATGTCCCCCATTCAGGGACGCAACACTAAAGGTCACACATAGACACTCAACTAGAATATGTCAAATAAATGATACTAATCTAATAGGGGTAAAATAAATTACACATCGGTCTACAAGATACATTACTGTAATAATAATAGCCCAGCTCGAAATTGTCTACTCTACCTAGGTCCAAACTCCTAGCTAGATTTCAGTCAAACAGATTAAGGTCGACGAGTTAACAGTTCAATATTTTCAAACGACGAAGCCTCAAGGCATGCATAGTACAACAAACTAACCTAAAGTCACGCTAGACAAAATCTGTGTAGCATCACTGCAGATTGTCCTGTTTCTATCAGTCCTACGTAACATATTGGCAAGGTATTATCTTGAACATGTGCGAACTGTCATGTAGACATTTGCACTGAACCCACGGCACTGGCCTGAAGCTGTGTGTCAACTTACTAACTCGTGTTCACGGCCGTATTGTACAAGCAAACATAAAATAATATTAATTAGCAATGACATTACAAGCTGCCTATCCTAATTCTGCAGCTGGGCAAGCCTCGCTAGCGCACTGGGTATTATCACAATACATTACTATTACAGCAAAAAATAGAATATCACAACAAAATTACATAACGATAATAAACCTGAGATATTGGGTTCTCAGAAAGGTTGATGACTTGGAATGTATTAGCACCCCAAAATTATATCATGAATAAAATTAAAAAAAACGGACGTTGCGTTGGTCAATGTGGCTGATGCTGATGTGGGGAACTCACTAGCATTTTCAGTTTACAACAATTTTGACTCTATTATCAGGTTTAATAACTCTTCTATACTTGCTGAATTGGATACTAAATTTAAACATTTGAAAGTAAAAACAAATTAAAGGGGTGAATTTCCGTATACCCTGGAGCACATCGTTGCTTTTGGTGCTGTTAGATTGTGTAAAGACTTTAGGAGAGTTAATGACGGCACAAAGCGACCCTTTTCCTATCCCGAATATTTGGCCAAGATGAGTTCTTAAAACGTTGCTCAAGTGCAAATCTAACTATTAATTTGTCTGAGAACGATTTTTTAACGCGACACGAAATTGATCATGGGCAAGTGAGCCCCATTCAAGCTAAGGTGGACGCCAATGTAAATAATGCTGCTCCAAGTGACCATAACTCTATTATTGAGAAGGAAGCCTTTTCATTGCTCTCGTCAGTGCAACATAGTTTGTATATAATGTTGCACACCAATATTCTCACTGCTGTTATTGTATTTATCTAATAGAATGTACACGCTTTTAGATGGGAATATATAAACCGTACAAAGTAGTGCCATATTCAATAGAATAAAATAAAAGTACGCATTCACTCAAATTGCCTTCCGTGCACCATGCATTAAGACGGCTCACCACTCACAGGTCACTATTTATATGTGCTGCCGCCTTGCCCATCTCCCTCAGTGACCACTTAACACTGCAGAATTACCAAGCACTACTTTGTATCACAAAAGCAGTCTCATTCATCACTCCAGCCTCAACTAGTGAAATTCCACTAACCTGTAAGTGCAGGCCACTTACCAAACTCATGTTCCAAGTCAGATAATGTTT